TCCTCATAGCACTTACCCTGAAGGACTGTTATTAGGGTTAAGGGAGATAATGCGTTAATGTGCTTAGCGTAGTTTGTGCTTGTCAATTAGCACTGTTCTGAAAGTCCAGCGTAAGAAAAAAATTGTGGCTATTCCCACGTTTGCCTTGTACAGAATTGTGAAAATGATAAAAAACAGAGGAACAGTAAATGTACGAGTATAAGCGTGGAAGATTAGGCAAAGGAAACACGACCCTTTCATCAGAAGGAATAACTTACAAATATTAAAGTAATCATGCAGGACGTTAGTGATAACATGGGAGAATTATCTTTATACATTGTTTAAAGAATTAGATGACAAGTCAATAAATCTTAGTAGTGTTTCATTTACTGATACGGTTAAAAACTTACAGGGAAAAGCCTGTAGCTGCTGTTCCCTCTTTATACAGTTAATCCCCAGTTTCTCTCCAAGACTCCTCGACGTTGTATGTAGACTGCTCTGTGTTCATTATTCAGTGTTAGACGTTATTACTGACTTCCTACTGTAGGAGATGAGAATTTAGAGTCGCCTTTTCCCTACAACTTCCCCTTCTCTTGTCATCCTAACATAATTTTTTGTTCAATCCATATTCATATTTTCACCATTGTATTTCTAGCTGAGGTCTAATATACTGTGAATATATGGATTATATTTCCTTTCTCGGACAACTCGTTTTCTCCCTGTAGTTTGTAGTTGCCTCTGGTTTTTTTCATTTGTTTTCTTGTTGGTTTTTCGCCTCCTCTGGGAGGCAGAATTTGACGACAGCTCCCAAGGCTCTGTCCGCCGGTGGGTGTGGCCTGTGTGCCCCTTCCTTGAGGTTGGCAGGACTGCTGAGTATAATGGGATGTCAGTGCCATGGTTACGTTACTTTATGGCACACAGGACCGATTTTCAGGTAGAATTAGGATTCCTTTTTAAGAAAGTATTTCACTTATTTTTAGAGAGGGGAAGGGAGGGAGAGAAACCTCAATGTGTGGTTGCCTCTCGCATGCCCCCTACTGGGGGTCCAGCCCACAACCCAGGCGTGTGCCGTCTGGGAATCAAACCAGTGACCCTTTGGTAGAATGAGGATTCCGAATCGGCCGACTGAGTTAATGAAAGGGAGATTCCTGAGATGGGTCTCACCTAATCAGGTGAGCCCTTAAAAGAGAAAAGGGGCAGCAGCAGGCGCCCCCTGCAGGTCTGGAGGAGGACGACAAACAGCAAGTTCTGTCCCGAGGGAGTGGGACCTCCGGGGGCTGCGGCCTCCCTCCGACGACCAGGGGGGCGAGTCCTGCCGGCAGCCTGGATGGGGCGGGAAGGGTTACGTTTCGCTGAATAGTTGTGGTTTTCTCTCGGTGTCACCTGCCCTCTGCACAGCCAGTTTCCTCTGCATTCTTTATTACTTCCTTGTTTTGCTTTGGTTCGACCTCTGGGTTGGATGGTCCCTGCCGATGTGGCCGTATTTCAGACTGAGACACATATATGACAACGGAATACCTATGAGTCAGGACAGGGCGTGACAAAGGTTGGCTTTCCCGTTCGATTGGGGCTGGTGGTGACTGGGGACAGGTCATTCCCTAAAGGAATCACGCCTCTTACCTGAGGGCTGTGCCTTGAGTCTCTGTATTCAGTGTGGTCCTCACGCCTGCCCCCATCCGTGGCTCCTGGCTCCTGGCTCTGAGGACAAAGCCTTTCTAATCCCCTCTCTTCTGAAAGTCGGTCCCCTGCTCCCTGACGCAGCAGGGGAGGGGCCGCTGCCTGGCTGATGGCTGGGGGTCTCCACAGGAGCTGTTTCTTAGATAGACTTTCAAGACATCGTTCCCTCCGGTCCAGGACTGCCCATGCCCTGCCTCTCAGAGGTGCACGACGACCCCGTCCCTGAGATGTTTCCGCGTTCTGTGCACAGATGGGCCGGTCCCTTCCTGGCTTCTCCTGAGCCTGCGGTTCCAGCGTTCTCTGCTCTGCCCCGTCATTGGCCGCTCAGCCGTTTGCATGGCCAGTGTCCAAAGTTTTGCCGACACCTCTTCTCGGCTGTTTCCGCTTCTGTGCTCTTCACCTTCGTGGGCGCACACCTGACGCGGCCTTGGTGCCGTGCTGGGGGTGGGGGGGGGTGCAGCTGGGAGGCACGTGTCCCACCTGCCGTGCCTACTCAGACCCATTTCCAAGCCCCATCTTTTTAAAGGGAAAAATATGCCAAACTTGTAAGCAGAGGTCCTCTCTGGGTGTTACGATTATGAGTATTTTTCTTTTCTTGTACTTTCCCAAAATTGTCTATAATAAGACATTTAGTAACTAGAAAACAATTATGCAAGTAAAACGATACTATTATATAGTTGTGTCCGTCAAAGCATTTTAGTTTCAAATACAGCACTTAGGTTGAACCTATGAAATCACTGTTTTTGTGTTTTTTTTTCAGGGAAAACAAAGATTGAATATCACCAATTCCATATGGTTCAACCTAAAACACCTAATATATGGCCCTGGCTGGGTAGCTCGGTTGGTTAGAGCACTGTCCCGATTCACCAAGTTGCGGGTTCGATCCCCAGTCGGGGCACGCACAAGAATCTATCACTGAATGCATCAATAAGTAAGACAACAAATTGATGTTTCTCTCTCTCTCTAAAAGGTGATAAATTAAAAGGTAAAATATCGGCTATAACACAGACCTGAGAGGTGACACAGCCTGGAAAGTGGAGCCATTGGCTCGACAGAACAGACTCAAGCTCACGAGAGGGTAAACATGTCTATGGCTAGGGGTTCGCCCACAGCCATTGCGTTGCTGTTCTCCAAGAGCCGCCCTTCCCGGCCTGCTGGTCGAAAAGCCTGAGGCGCTCCCCGAGTTTTGAGGAGCACACCGCTTTAGATGCAACTAAGGAAAGATGGTATTTCCTTCTTTTCTCCAAAACACTTGACACGTCTCTGTATTGGAACTCTCTGGGCACGTGCCTTTTTCACTCTCCTAGATTGTCAGAGCTCTTTAAAGTCAGGGATTGCCATCCTCCTGCTATTTATGGACTGTTTGGGAAAGCCTTAGTCACTGTATCACTGAATCTTTTTGTTATAAAGATTCAGAGGAGAAGTTTTTTTACTTTAGGAACACAGAGTAATGTGTGCCAGGTTGTGTTTCCCCTTTTGTCTTGGCTACACACCACATTTGTATCATGGTTCAAAGCCTTTTTGAAATCTCCACTTAGCTGTCTCCTGGGCGCTGTGTTAATTTGTTGCTGCTTCTGTAACAAATAACACGGGGCTTCCCCGCCGCAGTGGATGGGTATCTCCCCGCACCCCGACGCCGGGTCCCTCCTGTCGTTCAGTCATACCCACTTCTAAGATGGATCCAGAGTCCAATCCTGTGTCTTCGCGGCCACGGCCACCACGCCAGGCTGAGATGCCACCATTTTTTGCCTGAACCACGACACCAGCCTCCTGATCTGTCTCTTTACTTCAACTCTTGCCTCTTACTACTCTCTTGTCTAAAAACCAACCAGCTTTTTAAAAACACAGAGCGAGTCGTGCCATGTTCCTGCGTCGTCCTCTCCAACAGTCTCCTGTCCCACGACGAGTAAAGCCGTGGTCCTCGCGGCAGCGGATCAGGCCCCCGTTGAAGCAGCCTCCCCACCCGCCTGGCACCCACCCACGTCCCTCCTCCTCGCCCGTCCCGCAGCCTCAGAGACTCGGCACACTTGGTGATGGCTCACTTGTCTCCGTGGTTCGCCCCTCTCTGTTCTGGAAGGCGCTGCCATGTCTGTCCGTCCGTCACAGGATGTGACGCGTCCTCAGGCCTCGGCAGCCAGCAGGCACTGACTGCCTTTCAGGGATCGTCCTTGCTCCTATAATTTGCCCTTTTTGCTTTTATTTTCCTTCGATTTTGACTCCCCACTTCCTGTGGCAGCGAGAAGAACCCACGCCCCTCCCTGGCCAGGACCCACTCAGGGCGGAGGGGGCAGCGTGGCCTCGGCCCGCCCGTCTGCGCCCGGTGCCGGTGTCCGGGGTGAGAAGGGGACGCTGCTGCTAGCACCTTCCCGGGAGGGGTGCTGTCCCCCCCCCTGAGTGCCACGGGCTGTCTAAGGAAAGCGCCAGCGCGCCCCTCTGGACCCAGGACCAAAGTGGCCCCGCATCGTAACGTCATAGTGGTGTGTTCCCACTCACTGGAGGCAGAGCGCCTCCTCGGGGAGGCGGGGGTGAAGCTTCGGGATTATTTCCCCACCCCGGGCAGGGCTCAGATGGGAAAGGCGGGGGCTCTGGATCCCAGGGAGGAAGCCCCGGGTTCAGAGTGCGTCTTTGTGGGAGGTGGGCGGGGTGTGGGTGTGTGTAGGGTCCCTCAGGAGGGAGGTGACCCGTCGGGGACACCTGGCGGGGAGAGGTCCTTAGCTCTTTTGCCCTGGTCTCTGACCTTGAGCCGTGGGCTGCGGCCCCCCTTCGCCCCCTCCCCGGTGCGGTGGTTCCTGCCTCCACGTAGGCCGTCGTCCCCGGGCCTGCGGTGGCCTCGGGTTTGGCCATTCCTATAGGTGCCACATGCCACGATTCGTACACACACAGGATTTGCCTGATTGTGGCAGCCTGGGCCTGGAACAATTTTAATTAATGGGAAAATGGTCCTCAATACACTGATTAGGCCTCTTCAGGTACAACAAGATAAAAGCCTGATAATTTGGATGGAGTACTCTTCTTAAACGCTCACTCTATGCTCGGCGGCCAATGGCAGAGCCGGGCTGTCCTCCACCTGATCCAATGAGTCATTAAGAGAGGGCTTTTTCTTCCCCCTCTCCCCTCCCTCCACCCCCCTCCAACTGAAGCTTAACAGGTTGGTGTATAATTTGGAGACTTGAAGGGGTGTCATGCTAGGAGCTCAGGCAAGAGCCGGGCATCTTCTCTCCAGCTCCCCGGGCCCTGGCCTCTCACAGCGGACTGAGCAGGGCAGCCGGGGAGAGGCGGGAGCGGGCAGGGCGCAGGGCGCGCGGCTCAGCCCCACGGCCTGCGTCCGACCGGGGCCCGTGGCCATGAGTGAGCTGGGCCCGCCGAAGGCCGGCGACGGCTCCGTCTCCCGCCTGCTCACCGTGGTGGAGAGCGAGCTGCAGGCCGGCAGGGAGAAAGGCGACCCCACGGAGAAGCAGCTTCAGATCATCCTGGAGGACGCCCCTCTCTGGCAGAGGTTCAAGGAGTTCACCAATGAGATGATCGTGACCAAGAACGGCAGGTGACGCTCTGCGGCCCTGCGGGCGCCGCCTGGGCCTGGGTGGGAGGCGGGACCCGGGGTCGCGAGGAGGCGGCTGTGGGGTCTGGTGAAACGAGAACCACCTCACACGCGGCCGCCACCACCTTAATTTCTCTGAGGTCATCAGAGAAGCGGAGGGTGAGGCCGCCTGTCCTGCGTGTACTTGCCGCCGCAAGGTCCCGGGAGACGGCTGTAGAGGAGGGCGCGCCCCTTGGGTTGGGGGGTGTGCTACCCTGTCAGGAAGCAGTGGCAGTTCTGGGCAGACGCGTACCCCGGGACCAACCTGAGCCCTTACTTGGCTCAGACGAGGTGAGAGGCAAGTTTTTGTGGAAGCCGGTGGTTTCCGCTCAAGTGGAACAAACTTGCCAGAGACTTCTGATTTGTTCAAACTGGGAGCCAAAGGGCAACTTTTAATCATTGCCGGTCACTGCGCCTGCTTCCCGGCGTGTGTGTGTGGCGCGTGCCTGGTCGGGGGGGAGAGAGAGCGTGTGTGCGTTTTGAGATGTGAGCCGCAGTGGTCAAAGGTAATGAAAGCGATGCACCGCCGGGGAGAGGGGAAGGTTTCTCTTTTCTCATTTTGACAGGTTAGGGATTAACTGAACCTAACGTTTGTTGGCATTTCTTGGATTCTATTAAATCGCATCTGCTGAGGGACTGTCCAGGTAATTTTAGAAGCTTTTACTTAGGAGAGAGGACACAACAATTTTGAGAGATGATTTTCTACTCCCTGCTTGGCCAGACAGGCTCCCGGCATTCAGCCGATGCGCACTTGCCTTTCGGTTCTCGTCCCAACAGGACGAAAGGTCAGAGGCTTTGCGGCAGGTGCGGGTGGGCAGGGCTGTGGCCGTGGCCCGAGAGGGGGCCCTGCTGCCCAGTTGAGAGAGCCCCAGGCCCTGGAACTTCTGGAAGGTTTTTGTCCTTGTGCAAAACGCCTTCATTCCCGAGGGCGTACTTTCCCATTAAAAAAAAAAAAATGCTCAGGGTACAAAGTGAACCTTTCCTTGTCGATCTAGGACACCTATGAAGCTGAGTGCTTGCTGTCACATGACACCAAAGTGCTTTGTAAGTGACAGGTGGGCCAGAAACGGGGGCATCGCCATCCATTGCGATCGCTCCTGGTGCCGGAATCTGCAACTTGTTCGGTGCTTGTATTTGCCATCTCTAATCGAGTCCCCTACTTACTTCACGTATAAGATGTAGTTCTTGTAATATCTGTAATTGTCCCTACTCTTGATTAGTAGCTACGCATTGTTTTGGGTAGAAAGAGATATAAAACATGTTTTTAATTTCAAGGCAACACCCCAAATTCCAGATTGGGTTTGCTTTCTGTTCAAAGATAGTGGTGGTACAATTGTACAAACATGATGCCTGATAACAGGTAGGACTTCCTGCTTATTTTTTGTCCACGGGGGGTAGTAGTCACACTAATCCTTGGCCTTGTACCACACGCTTGGTGTCAGAGTGGCCACTTTTGAACATAAAAGAAGTAGAGTCACCAAGTAAAAATATGTTTCATCTCTTTCAATAAGGAATGCATTAAAGTTTCCGATACCATGGTAAAATTCAACTTAAATATTATTAATATTGCTCATATTGGCACATTCTTTCTTTTGCCTTTTTTTACCTATACATTTTTTTTTCTCCGTGTTCAACATTTAGAATTTTTCCCATGGTTCAAATCATCCGATACTAAGATTCTCTTAAGGTTTCTGACTCTCTTTGGGTCAAAACTTTGCCAGGGGAGAGAACGCTTCCTCTCGTCTTCAGGTAAAGACAGAAGACAAGTCTCCGCGGGGTTGGCGTGACGGATGAGTGAGCTTCGCCTGGAAGGACGTAATCTCTTAGTTTCGTGGACTTGATTGTGAGCCACGCTTTGTTGAGCCATCTTTCTTGTGTCGCCGTTTCTTTTCCTGCCTGCCTTGTCTCCATTCCCCTCTTCTCTCCTAACCGCCTGTTTCAGGGCATCCTTTTTACCCGTTTCCTTGGGCTCTAGCCCCGCCACGGTTTCCTGCAAATACCCCTCCCTGTCCCGCACACCAACTCCCGACCCGAGGCGGGCGGGTCTGTGGCCCTTCCCTGTGGGGAAGGACATTCCTGGCATTCAGCACCCAGCCGGGACCTTTAATTCACGTTGCACGCGACCCCTGTAGGCAGCGGACGGCCTGACTTTTCTAAAAGCCTCTCTCGGGGTCACAGTCCGTAGGCACCAGGGCTCTCATTGCGTTGACGTAGCACAGGACGGACTGAGGAGAGAAGGAAAAGACTCGCTTTCAAACAGAGTCAGATGTGTATGCGGGCGGCTCCCATCTGACATGGGTGAGAAGTGGTAAAGAGAGGATGTTCCCGGAAAAAACTGAATTATCCCCCGACGCTGGGTCCTGATGCCCTTCATGCCTCCCTCCCTCTGTTTGCTTTATTTTACCCTCTCCCTTTCCTGTTTGCTTCCTGCACTCTTTGTGCTTAAAATTTTCAGTGATTCATAGTCTCCCAGAGATAACGGTTCCGCGCTGCAGAGCTCATTTGAATCACCTCCGCGGCCTCTGCTCTCAGGGCTTCCTCCGCTTCCTCCACATTTTAGGCGGCAGCGAAGGACGGCGTTCAGGCTTCGGAGGCGAACGCGCGAAATGCCTCGTCCCTCTTGTTTTCCTTACGGTTCACATCCTCACGTCTGGGGAAAATGCTCCAGTTCACACGTGCTTCCACTCAGCTAAGTAATTTCCACCCAAGCCTGACCTTGGGCAGGGACGCCCCTCTGCTCTCATAAAGTAAGAGCTGGGGATCCCGGGCTGAACGTGCCGGGGGTGACGGCGGCCGGCGCGGGGAGCCCCCCGGCGCGCGGTTTCCAGGGAGGCCTGTGCAAGAGCAGGGGAGGTCCAGGCTGCGCACGGGCGAGCCGATGTCCACGCACCCCTACCCCGCAGACACGCCTGTCCAAGGCTTACAGTTGTGATTTATGAGGAGCACATGCATCTGTGTGATTGTCCCCAACACACACACACACACACACAGGGGTGACCGCTTCATGCATGTCACCGTCCTGTGGGCAGATGGGGGAAGGTGTTTACAAGCGTCACGTCCTGGATGGTGCCTTTACCCCCCTCTGCTGCTCCCCCGCCCACAGCATCCGCCTCGTCTCTGCTCCTTTCCTCCCACAAACCTCCCTCCTCGTGCCTCCTTCGGCCCTGCTGCCTCCAAGGTCCCCCCGTCAGGGAAGTGAGATGAAAACCAGCCTCACGGCAGAGCACCAGAATTCACAGGCAGCCGCCCCACAACCCACGGCTTCTCCAGCGAGGCTGGGGACGGCTTCGTCACCTGCCGCACAGCCTGCCGGCCTGCCCGTCTGCCTCTCTGCCCCCTCCTGCTCGCTCTGCCTCCGTTAGGGACGGACCTCCACATTTCCCAGCTCCTCGGAGGCTCTCGGGCATCTCTGCGGTGAGCCGCACCTTGGGAAGAAGAGGCGGGAGAATCAACTCGAGGAAAAGGGGGGCCCCTCCCTGGAGACGCGTGGTCATGGGCGCTGCCCACGGGGGACACGCCACGCCTCCGGGCCCCCGTGAGGCGGGAGGAGCCCACCGTGGCTCAGCAGCGGGGTGAGCGCCAGGCCCTGGCACGAGACTCCTGGCGAGGTGACTGACTGACGTTTAATCCTCATTGCATAACAGAGGTGAAAAGAGACATGGCATCGCTTAGTTCATTTGTGTAGTGATAAAGCAATAAGCCACCCCACACCTTTCCCGGTGTCCTTCCCAGCGCCAGAACACGTGGCTCCTCCTTTACTTTTTCGTTAAAGCTTTATCGTGGCAGTTCACACATCATGCAGTTCACCCAGTTAATGTGTACAATTCAATGATTTTGGGTGTATTCACAGAATCGTGCATGTAGTCCCACAAATAACTTTAGAACGCTTTCCTCATCCCCCAAAGAAGCCCTGCGTCCTTAGCCGTCACCCCGTTGTCCCCTGTCCTCCCCAGTCCTGGCCACCTCTTCTATTTTCTCTCTCTCTGCGCAGATTTGCCAGCTTTGGGCACTTCATGCTCATGGAGTCATACTGTACGCGGTCCTTTGTGACTGCCTTTTTTTCACTGAGCATAATGTCTTCAAGGTTCATCCACGTGGCTGCATTTTGATTGCCAGCTAATAGTCCAGTGTATTAATCGACCCCACGTTGTTCATCCATCCATCACGCGTGCCGTTTCCCCTTCGGCACGATGCCGCTATGAACACTCGCATGGATGCGTGTTGTCCTTTCTCTCGCACGTGCACCTGGGCACGGAACTGCTGCTCCCTGAGGCGCTCCTGCAGGCTGGCTTCCAGGGCGGGGCCCTTCCTGCCCACCGGCAGTGCGGGAGGGCGACTATTTCCCCTCCTTGGATGCAGGGCTCTCCCTAGAAATCACGACACTTCCGGGGCGTCCTAACCCGTTTACATTAATTTTCTCCCTGTGAGCCCCCCACACAGGGAAGTGGCTCCCCCACTTCCGCGGGGAGCCAAGGGGCGGAGGAAGCCGGCAGCATTGGCCGCTGCCCACAGGTAATGCCAACGCCTGGGATCGGTGTGCTAATGACCGTGAGTCAGCCGGCGAATAAAAACGGAAGCGGCGTGAAAGGTGTTAATTTACTTTTCTGAGAAATAATTCTCATACAATCAAATTCACCCTTCGTAAGTGCCCGGTTTACTGGTTTTAGAATACCCACAAAGTTGTGCATTGGTCACGACTACCTAATTTCGGAACATTTTCCTCACCCTTCCCCCCATCCCGCCAGAAACCCCTTAGGCATTAGCAGCCACTCCCCCTCCCACAAGGACCTCTCGCCTTCAGGGCGCAAAGCAGAGGGCAGGAGGGGCAGTGTTCTTGTGCTCTGGGCTTCCGGCTCCCACAGCCACCGCCCGCCCGAGGTGAGAGTCTGGAAGAGCAGCAGGGCTGGCTGGCCGAGCCCTGGACAGAGGGGCAATGCAGCCGACGTGTCCAGGGCACTTACTAGGTGCCGGGCATTAGAAGAGGCACTTTGCATGAATCAGCTCCTTAAGTTCTTTTTTTTAATTAAACACATATTTTTTGCTCGCTTTGAGTTCTTGCAGCAGCTTTGAGGCTGGGCTGGGGTGCGGGCGATGAAGTTGGAGAGGCTCAGCAAGGCGGCTACGGCCCTCTGCTCAGGAAGGGTGGGGGCGGGAGCCAGGCAAACGGAACCAGAGCGACACTCGGACTCGTTCCTCGTGTGGCCGGTACCGGCAGCCGAACGCTAGCTCAGCGCCAGCAGCGATGGGGGCCTCGGCCCTTGTGCTAGGCTGACAGATGCCGAGAAGCGGCCCCTGAGGCCGGGCACCGAGGAAACACACCCCGCTGTGCGCCCACGGTTGCAGGACCGAGCCGGAAGAGGAGCCAGTAAAGGAGTTGGGAAGGAGATGTCACTGAGGTGGCTGAGCCAAGGCGACCAATTCCCATCACCATCCAGCGAGCTCTGGAAGCCTCATCCGTGGCACGTAGGAGCCTGGAGCCGGGACGGCTCCGGTCCTTTCCAGACCCACTCTTGCACCTGTCAGTCACTTCCTTTTCTGAATGTAGCAATTCCTTTCCACCTTGTCTCAAAGCTGGGCAGCGCTGCGCAGTCGGCTGTGCTCGGTGACCCTCAGACCCTCACCCGGGCGCATCCCTGCCTCCTCGGACCCCTTCTCTTCACAGTGGGTGCACCCGCTTCCCCTTCCATCCTCCTCCCAGCTCATCAGCAGCACCGGTCCTTGGACTACCCCACCCCCGCTGCCTTGCTGTCTCCTCAGTTATTGTCCTAAAAGCCGAGGACACTGTAGGCCGGCAGTCTGCGGCTGGAGTGCCCTGTGGCTCACCCGGGGGTTTGGAAAAGCAGATTCTGACCGAGTGCCCGGAGTGAGGTCTGCGGGCCTGCACCTCCATGAGCTTCCAGCTACGCTGATGTGCTGGTTCGGGGACCACTTTGGGCAGCAAGTGTCTAGACTCCAGGTGGTGAGCTCCTCGATTAGGGGATGCAGATTTAAAAGCAGTGTTGACCCATCAGACAGCACCTGGGGAGATCAGCCTGGAAACCAGGTCTCCAGCGGACAGGTTGGAGCAGCTTCACGTGTTTCGCTCATGGGAGTCAGGAGCCAGGCAGGGAGGGAGCTTCTGCAGACGTCCCTGAGAGCAAACTTGCTGCGTGTCCAGGAGGGCGGAGGAAAGACCCGTGAGTCCAGATCACAGTGCATCCCTCGAGCACATGAGAAGGTGGCTTCACTGTCATTCAGGTTCAGAGGACACGCCAGCCCACGCCCCCTCCTCGGAGGTTGGCGGTGGGCAGTAAAGGCCCTGTGAAGTCCCGCAGCAAAGGCGCTGGTCCAGCCAGGAGCTGCCCTCGCTTGCTTTGCCTTGAAACCATGTTTTCTCCCTCCGAGCCCTCGCTGCTGTTCAGAGCGCGTGTCCTCGGGAGACTGGGAAGCCTGGCTCTGTGGCGTGAGTGTGGGAATCCCACCCCTGATCGGACACCTTGGGCTTCAGGTTCCCCTGTCAAATGGCTCGATCAGCGGTCTTCAGACTTGAACGTGGAGCGCGGCGGTTTAAAGTGGCACCCCAAAATGAAACACAGCTGTGGAAAGAGGCTCGGGGGGCCTGGGGACGCCCGGCTTAGCCCTGCTTTCCCTGGCCCCTCCGCGGGCATGCTGTGCACCCCCGAGGCCGTCCACGGATGCGCTCAGAGTGGACGGGCGGCTGGCCGGGGGTCGTGGGGGTACCCCTAACCCTTGAACGTCCCTCCTGTGGCTCAGTCCCTGCCTTTTCTTGCAGACGGATGTTCCCTGTCCTAAAGATTAGCGTCACGGGGCTGGACCCCAACGCCATGTACTCCCTCCTGCTGGACTTCGTCCCGACGGACAGTCACCGCTGGAAGTATGTCAACGGGGAGTGGGTGCCCGCGGGCAAGCCAGAGGCCTCCAGCCACAGCTGCGTCTACATCCACCCGGACTCCCCCAACTTCGGGGCCCACTGGATGAAGGCGCCCATCTCCTTCAGCAAAGTCAAGCTCACCAACAAGCTCAGCGGTGGCGGGCAGGTACGGCCACGGCCCGCCTGGCCGCCGGCCGCCCCACAAAGCCAATCAAGAGAAACAAGTGTGCATTTAGTCAATTAGAGGGGTCCTCATGGGCCTCTTCTCCCACAGGGACCAATTACTCCCCCGAGTCCAAATGTAAACAGGAATAAACAGCTCTTAATTGGTGCTTTCAGTTTTTAATGGACTCCCGGATGTGGAGAGAAAGCTTACTTAATCAGGGGCCTTTCAGAGTTCTTCCAGCCGGGGAGGGAGAGGGCGGGGCGATCTGTTATTCCCTCTCCCTCTTTTTTGGCGAGAGTGGCGTGCTGGCAGTGGACAAAGGCCTTCATCGAAAGCTGCTCCTAATGAAATAATTGCTGCCTCCTCTTGGGCACTAGGATAATTATCAATAGCATATGGAATCAGCTTGGGGTTTGCAGGACACAAAGACAAACAGACCTCGCATGAGGAAGGGTTTACGTAAGGTCTTCCATTAGAGCAAACAAGATTTGGGGGCTTTTTATCTCTTCTTTTCTCTGGCTGGATCACGGATGCTCGTGTGCTGGGTAGGGGCTGCTTTTCACTTTATAACATGTAGGATTTGCGGGGGTAGTAGAGGGAAAGGCCTCTTCCCCCGCATATTTTGCCCGGCCTGTCCGCCCTTCCCTGGTCTCTCGGTGCTCAGCGCGCTGGGACGCAGGACGGGGTGCGGGCTGTCCACCCAAGCCTTTGTCATTTCCAGAGGGTTCCCATTCTTTATGAAAACGGGAAGTTGAAAAGGAAACGGTATTGCCTCCCAGGTTTCACAACAGGAGGCTTCCAACCGACCCTTGGCCGGGGGCGCGGAGCGGGGTTTCCGTCACCAGCAGGTGTCAGGAACGCTCCCTGTTGTGCGTCCTCGGGTGGGAGGAGCCGTGGGTCAGCGGCTGGATTCCTCCAGACCCACGAAGGAAACGCACGTGTTTTAGCGGGTCAACGTCTGCAGGGTTGTGCTGAAAGTAGGGAAGGAAAAGGAGAGAAGTCAGGCTTTTGGTGGAAAACTGAGTATTTAGAACAACTCCCTGGCAACACCCGTCCCCTCCCCACCCCACCTATTAGCACCAATGTTATGGTTCCTGGGAACTTCTGGGCAAGTCCCCTTCATTCTCAGGTGACTGAGGGTTCCCCGCGGGTGGCCCTGGCTGGGGGGTGCGGAGCTGGGGACCAACCACAGCGGCCCGCTGGGGGTCCCTGGGAGAGCTGGGCTTTGCATGTCCTGTCTTCCTCTTCTTGCTTCTCCACAGATAATGCTGAATTCTCTGCACAAATACGAGCCCCAGGTTCACATCGTACGCGTGGGGGGCGCCCACCGCATGGTCATGAACCGCTCCTTCCCTGAGACCCAGTTCATAGCCGTGACAGCCTATCAGAACGAGGAGGTGAGGGGGTGTGTGTGAGAGAGTGTCACCCGGGAGAGCATGGGGGGAGGGGCGGGTGACTCCTCACCGCCACCAACCCGGATGCCAGGTGGTTTTTTCAGGGCTCAGGAGTTAGGCCACGGGGTGGCCGCTTGCCGCTCTTTCTTGCCTGTTTGCCAGAGGCCCACCAGCACGTCCTGTCCCGGAGCCAGTGGGCGGGTCGAGCGTCGTGGCAGACCCCACACAGACCACCCGGGGCTCTGCTTCCAGGGCCGTGGGCCCTTGGCCTGCACGCGGTGGCGGGGGTCTCCCCCGCTCCGGAAGCTGGTCTGTGGTCACGGAGCTAAGCCTGCCCTCCTCCGGCTGCGTCCTCTGGGGGTCCCAGCACCTGCAGAGGCATGGATTCTTCCCGGTTATACGCAAAACAATTCATAAATAGAGATGTGACTGTAGATTTACATATGTACTCAGTACGTGGGGGGAAACACACGAAGCTGGTATTTACGGTGACCTTGGAGAATGGAGTCAAGGGGCTGGAGGGAGAAAATACTTTTATTTTTCATTTCCATTGGATACTTCTGTACTATTTGTTTGCTATGTGGGCTTTTAAAGAGTCCCCGTGTATTACCTTGAACATGAGGCCAGGAGAAAGATGGCGGTGTGCCCACAGGAATGTCCTCCCTTCCTCCTGGGCTTCCCGGCGCTGGAAGGAGAGCGGCACGTCTCAGGCCTTTGCTGAAGGAAATGTTCTTTTAAGTATCATTCATTCAGCAGATATTTGTTGAGCGTTACCACCTGCTGGGTGCTCTATGTGCCAGGGATACCGCGGTGAACAAGACACCGGTGTGCTCTGTCCCCAGGCGCTTACGTCCCAGTGGGGAGAGACGAAAACCAGAAGTAATATATCATGCGTGTCATATGTGTGATACGTGATGTGTATGTGTCAGGCGGTCCTGAAGGAAAGGGGAGCAGGCTAAGGCCAGGGGGACAGCGTGACGGTGGGCGGGGGCAGAGTTTGTGTTCCGTGCCCACTGCTAACAGGGCCTGATGTGGAGGATTATTCGTGAATTAGGGAGGCGATGCCAGGCGGCTCTCTTGGGGAGGCGGGATCTCACTGCGTTGCCTTCCATTGTGTGACCAGTGGTTGGAAACGTGGCTGATGGGCGGAAGGCATTCAGGAATTGCTGAAAAACGTGAATGAATAAATAAAAGAAAGGATACTAGGGCTGGCACGCGAGGCTTCACTCATTCCCAAGGCTTTGTCCTGCCTTTGCTCACGTTTGTCGCATCTGTATGTTCACCGCAGGCCACAGTAAGACGTTCTTTGCCAGAGACGGTGCCATAGCGGCTCCGCGCGGGAGCAAGCAAAGCACTGTGAGGGAGGGAGGGAGGGGAAAGAGGGGGCGGTTCTGACGTTGCGGAAATTCCCACGTGAAGGTAACGGGTTCTGTCTGCTTGTATGTGTGCTGCTTTCACTAACGCTTCTTATCTTTGTGAACATAAGATAACAGCTCTCAAAATCAAGTACAACCCCTTTGCCAAAGCCTTCCTGGATGCCAAGGAAAGGTGAGTAGAGACACTTCCGTCCAACCTGATGCCCTGGCTTCTGCCAACGGGAAATTCGCGGTCACGTAGAAGGAAGCTGGCCTCGTAGCGCTTCCTTCACCCTTGATAGAAATGTGTTTTTAACATTTAATTTACTATTTAACAAAGTCAACAACACTCAACAAACTCATAATTACCTGTCCCTTATACATGGGGTCCAGGAGAGGGACCTCTAGCGGGCCGTGTTTTGTCAGCTGTTTCCCTGTAGATTCTTGAACGTAGCGTGACCGCACTGAAGAACAGTGAAGTGACTTAGATCTTAGCTTGTTCCCTCTGCCACTCCCCAGTTGTGTCTGCGTCCTATGGTTTCCCCAAGCTGGATCTTTTAAAACATACATATAGCCTAGGAAAGGTGGGTCATTCACAAGGGAAGGGGTCCATCGCTTTCAGTTCTGAGAAATGAGAGACGTCTGGGAAGTAAGCGATAACCCTACCACTTGGGTCAGCGACTTCAGTCTCTGCATCTTTCCTTTCCATTCTAGGAAAAAAGAATAATAATAATAATGACACTTATCATTGACCTCTATCGACAAGGCCTGGAGCGTAGCTACGACCACTGTTGAAGTGTTCGGACTTTATTGCCTGAGTCCCAAGCCTTTCTTGATACCTCCTGTACCTGTCGAATTTTCCCTTTTCACCTTGAAGTGCGAGGTTAAGGAACAGCCATTTGCAATGACGCCATATAGATGAGTCCTATCAATATCTGACTTAATCTCAGTGAGGTAGAAGGCTTGCATGTAACTTGTTCAGATAAGTGAAGGCCTGAAGAAAATCTGACATGCGAGGTGACAGAAACCGGGTTCAAATGGTAGGAACGTGGTGTCGCCGGAAGAATTTAGGACTTTGAGGGAGACGTCCTCACTTGGAGTCTCAATGTTGCCATTTCCTGGCGGTTTGATCAGGGCAATGTCTGTTTACCTCTGAGACCCACTTTTTTAATCTGTAAAGCGGGTGTAGACTAGTTCCCTGGCAGGATTGTTGGTGGGTCCTGCCTACCACAGGCATGTGCCTTGACGTCCCCTGCAAACCTCGGCTGTCGTTGGCGTGTGCATCTTGTCAGGCGGGAGCGATGGCCAGACCCAAATAAGGTCTAGACTGCGCAGGGGCAGTTACGAATGTGGCAGATTGGAGAACCGTATCATTGCGCTTCCAAGAGCAATTGCCCAGGTCCATGAAGTGCCCTGGAGGAAGGGGGCGGGGGCAAGAGAGCCGCTTTGAGAAACAAGGGTGTTTGGTTTTCGAGAACTGGGTTGCTCTCCCAAGAGACTGCGTGCGGGGCAGGCGTGATGCCGGCTTGTGCGGTAGGCTGCATGGAGCTTTGTGTTCCCCTTTCAGGAACCACCTAAAAGACGTTCCGGAAGCGATCTCCGAGAGCCAGCACGTGGCCTGCTCCCACTGTGAGTCGGGGGACGTGGCGGGGGGCCTGGGCGACCGTAGGAACCACCTCCCACCGCTTCTGACTCCTCCCCTGTCGTGACTGCTCCATGCCCATCCCAAAACTTCCATCCCGATCCGGCGGGTTATTTCTTCTGCTCAGGGCGGGCCTCTGCCTTTGCAAGAGTCCCAGAGGGGAGCGGTGTTCCTAGGGGCTTCTGCAAACCTCAGGCAGCAGATAGGAGCGGGAAGGATGAGTTTCTTGGGCTCTAGCTTCGCGTCAGTGCGGCGAAGAGCCTCAGACGTGCACTCCAGGCGGGTTTCCATCCTCTCCGGCTCCGGGCTGTCTCTTCTGCATTTCCCATTCTTACTACTCGATTGCTTTCATGTTGGCCACCACGGCCAGTCCTCTAAAGCAGCAACAGCCACCCAGCGTCAGGGACATCAGCGTGGAAAGCCAACCCTGGTGTCTGAGACTCTCTAATTCGGATTGTGGCGGTTTGCTAAGACGCCTTCTGCAGCTTTCCAGCTCGGGAATCCCTCCCTTCCTCCCGCTGAAACCCTGCTGCATCTCCCTCCACTGCAGAAGTGTGAGAAGAGCCACAAAAAAGAGGCGGCTCTCAGAAGCGCACTTTTAGAAGTGACCTGGAGTAAAAGGGTTTTCAGGACCATGTGCAGAACTGCACATTTTCAAAGTTCGCTCATCGTAGGCTTCGGAGCAAACGCCTTGAGGTGTGCGCCTCGTGTGTGGTGAACTGGGTGCACTGAGGTCTGGTTGTGGGGAGCCGCTTGCCTGGCTTTGCCCAGCAGGACACCTGATTTTTGATCCCATTTGGCAGGTAGGTCCCTGTGGATCGCACGTCTAGACAACAGTCGGAAAATGGAGAGGGCCCCAGAGAATGTGGGGAATGATTTGCCGACCCTTTGCAATATGAACTCTGTATAATTTGCTTACTTATCCTTAACAAGCATTCAGCAAAGACAGTGGTTTCTGAGTCCTCACCGGGTCTCAGTGGAGGGGCTGTGTGTCTCAGGGGGGTGTTACTAGGTCTCCCTGCCTTCGTGCATGAACTCAGTGGGAGCACAGCCTTCTGTTGGAATCTTCACTCATTTTTTCTTATCGTACAAATGACACATAACATAAAATGCTCCCTTCCAACAACTTCCAAGGGTACGGAAAACACTGTTGACCACGAGCACATTGTAGTACAAAAGATCCCTAGAACCAACACCCAAAAACGAATCCAGCAAACAGGAACTCTTCTTCGTCCTTCGCTCCCGGCAACCGCAGTTCCACGCCCTACCCCTACGGCCGCCCCGTCCTCCAGCGCCGCCGCTGCTCGCCGTCTCCCTCGGATCCCTGATACAGGAGGAACCGCGCAGTCATTGTCCTTTTGGTAGTGCCTTTGTTCTTCTTTTTCAACATTGTTTTGGCTCTTTGGGGTCTTTTGAGATTTCATATGGATTTTAGTTGCTTTTTTTCTAATTCTTCCCCCAATGCCACTGGGCTACGAACAGGGATTGCAGTGAAATCTGCTGATCACATGCTTTGGGTCACATGAACACTTTAAGAATATTGTCGTCCAATTGTGAACAGAGCGTGCTTTCTTTTGACACTTACCTGTATCTTCTTTAACATTTCTCCCAGCAAATGCTCTGTAGTTTTCACTTGGCGCATGTTTTGCCCCCTTGGTGGTTTCTTCCTCATTATTTTATTCTTTTGGAAACAATTGCAAATGGAATTGTTTTCTTGTTTTATGCTTTTTGGGTTGTTCATTGTTAGCGTGTAGAAATGCAGCTGATTTTCTGTGTTGGTTTTGCGTCCTGCACCTTTGCTGAATTTGTGTATTCTGAGTGTGTGCGCGTGTCTGTGTGTAACCGCTAGGACTTTCTTCATGTAATATCATGCCATCAGTGATTTTATTTCTCCCTTTCCAATTTAGGTGCCTTTTCTTTCTTTCTATTATTTATTTATTTTGCCTAATGGCTGTGGCTGGGACTCCCAGTGCTGTGTTGAATAGAAGTGGCAAGAATGGGTCTCCTTGTCTTGTTCATGACCTTGAAGGAAAAGCTTTCAGTCGGTGACAGTTGCGTTTGTTGTTACGGGCTTGTCATACGTGGCCTTAGTTACGATGAGGCAATTTCCTCTTGTTCCTAGTTCGTTGAGTGGTTTTTTTGTGTGTTTCTTTGTTTTTGTTTTTTAATCATGAAAGGGTGTTAAGTTCTGTCAGGCACATTTTCAGCATCAGTTGGGGCAACATTCACGAGCAAATGTCTATGAGATACTTGGCAGCCTTCCAGAATATCCTGCAACATTCTGGCAGTGAAGGCACGCCAACCAGCCCCCCGTCTTTTAGCTCTTGGACCCTCCCTAGGGGGGATGGGAGGGGCGAGAGCCTCCCCAGGCGCGAGTCAGAGCGGCCTGCACCCCCTGCGTGACCACACTGAACAGTAGCTGCAGGTCAGCGGGCTGCGCACACAGCTAACACCTCCTCCTCGGCCTGCCTTTTAGCGGCACTCAGTGGAGCCAGAAGCCACTTGAGCTTTGAATTTCCACAAACAGAAACATCCAAGCGGTCTTCTGTGTCGCTGTGATTCCAGCGTTGCAAACTTTGAGAGGACCTGTCAGTCATCCATCGCCCGAGAGGCCAATGGACAGGGCGTGCCAGGGCGGCGGGTGGTATCTACATGGCAGACGTGCAGTGCCGTTGGCACAGAAACATCGCCACGCACGGTGGCTGGGGCTCTGACTTTGGGCGCCAGGCTCCGTGTCTCCCTCTTGTCCCTTCCAGTGGGAGGCTGGATCTTCTCCAGTCCGGACGGCGGGTGCCCAGCAGGAAATGCCAGTCACCAGTGCGCAACGCCCCTGCCTCTGCCTACGCCCCACACCCACCACGGCTGTGAGCGCTGCCCCGGCCTCCGCGGACACCGGCAGGCCCCCTACCCGCCCGCCTACGTGCACAGGGGCCACGCGCCCTCAGGTGTGTGGCGCTGCCCGTGGGGAAACCCTTGGGGGCCGGGCTGGGACGGGGGTGGGGCGGCAGAGGGGAGAGAGGGATGAACAGCTGGTAAAAGAAGCGCCTGAAGAGGGAACCCTCTCATCTAACGTAGGGAGGACTGTTGTGTGTTATTAGTTTAATGGTTTCTTTTCTATCCTGGCGGTTGACTGTAGAGTTGTGACATCATTGGCGTTTCTTTTTGTAGTTTTTTCATAAGACACCGAACCCCCTGGTTTCTAACGGGTGGGACGGCCCAGGGCGGTTCCAGGCTCCGGCAGGTCAGGCGGTGGGGCCTCAGGCACGCAGCTCATTCATTGCCTTCCGGACACGGCTCTTTCCCACGGTTAGGCACTGGCCCCGTCCCCTCCGCACTGACGCGCCCTTAGGAAGGCCTCGGGGAGCGGCGCCCCCCGGCGTGGGTGTGATTCAGTCGGGGGTATGCAGTGCCCGCCTCGGTCAGTTTTGTGGCCTGACGATTGTGCACGTTGGCACTCTTGTGAGGTTTGAGCCTCGTCGATGGCTGCCTTGCCGGCCTTGGCTGTGCGTGAGCCTCTTGCCTGGTTCTTTATCTGAGGAACAGAGCGATGAAACCAAGGGCTGATTTCTCATTCAGTTATTCATGCAACAAACATCTGTCGGGGGCTGACGATGTTCCGGGTTCTGCCCACAAACAGAGTAGACAAGTACCCGGCCCTCGTGGGGATTCTGTCCTCAGACGGGGAGACGGACATTAAATCAAGTGAATAAGTGGAGTGGCGTGGGGGAGAGGGAGGGTGTGAAGGCGGCAGCGTCAGGGACACCCTGGGCCCTGTGTCCCCAGAGGGCTTTCCCGGTCACCAGAGCCTGTCCCTGTGCCCCGGCACCTGCGTCCCGGCAACCTCGGCCGCGGCGGCCAGGGCGGGAGAAGGGTTGCGTAGTGGCCTCGACACTGAGCGGTGTCCCCACTCTGCTTCCCGATTCTTTCCGGGGCCAGCACCGGGCCACGCGCTCTGAGCACGTGGGCAGCGGGGAGGAAGGCGGTTGGGGGGTGGGGCCCAGGGCGGCACGAATCCACATCAGTCACCAGCGTACGAGGGGCAGCAGCTCTGACAGGGTCCTGGGTCTGCGGCGCCCCTGCCCCCGGGGCCTGGTCAGAAAGGGGGGCCCTGGGGACCTCCTTCTGAAAGAGACCGCGTTTGCACAGGACGCCCAGGTGGTTCACACGCACAGGGAAGTTGGAGGAACGTTCTGTAAAGCACAGAAGCCACGGTGCTGTGGGAAGGAAGGGGAAAGGGCAGCTAGGGCTGCCTAGAGGGGGTGACGCTGAAGATCTGAAGGCGGCACAGAGAAGGGCAGAGTGGCAGTGGGCGGGTGACACGGGACACCGGCGGAGGTGAAGGGCATTCCAGCTGCGAGGGGACTGTGAGTGCAGGCCCAGATGGCAGGAGAGCCTGGGCTGCCTGGGGGAGGGACTGGGAGCAGAGGGGAGGGGGTGGGAACTGAGGTGGAAGAAGCGCCAAGCACCGCCCACGTGCTGCCTCGTCAGAAGCGTTTCCCTCTCCTCTTTCCCCTCCTTCCTCTCCTCCTGGTTTTCCTTCGTCCTCTCCTGCACACACGCTATTCGTGCAACTGGAGATTCGAAGACATAGTAGACGTCACTGTTCTGGAGAGGTTTAATCTGCTTGGGGTTGCTGAGAAGAATAAGGTCCCGGACCCCAGGCAGCTCATCGGGGCACCGGCGGCTTTGCTCGAAGGGATGATGATGCGGTCCATTCTTAAAGGGGAGACAGGAGCGTGGAGACGTGAACTGTGGCTGTGTCTCAGGGCCAAGCGCCTCACCCCCGGGCCTCACCTGTCACAAGGAGACGAGCTGTTATTGTGGAGATTTAAATGTGTGTGGCACGTGGCTGATGGATGACGCTCAAGAAGCCCAAGCTCCCCTTTTCCGTTCCCCAGAGAGCTCCCACACGCCCTGACGGGTGTGGCTCAGTGGGTCGGGCGTCTTCCCGCAAACGGAAAGGTCGCCGGTTCGATTCCCGGCCAGGGCACCTGCCTGGGTGGTGGGTTCGGTCTGGACAGGGTGCGTATGAGAGGCGATCGCTCAATGGCGCCTATAGCACAGCCACAACTGCGTTTGGCCCCAGGATAATGTCATTGGTCACCAGCTTTCTAGGGTCTGCACGCTCTGTCCACTGAACTGTTGTTATTTCTCCAAAGTGAATTTGATAGAGAGCCCCGGCAACAATCTGCAAGTTTTCTCCGGAGCCGACAGCTGGACGTCCATACCCTCTGCCCCCCACGCCAGCATCCTGTCTGTGCCTCACTCCAGCGGCGCCATCAACCCAGGGCCCGGGTAAGACGAACCCCGCGACCCGCTCTTCGGTCCCGGTGGGCGGGGCACACGTCAGCGCTGGGGCCCCGGGGCCCCTCTTCCCCAGGCTGGTATGGGCCAGCCCCCTGTCCTGACTTCCAAGCTGCCGGGCCGTGGAGGTAAACAGGGCTCGCTTTTGCTCCCGCAGGAAGGGTGGCCGGGAAGGGCTCGCTTGGCCGTGTGCTTGTTTTGGGGACCTTTGGTATTTTTTCTTTGAAGTGATCATTTGTCTCACACCAGTCAGACATACTGTGGTTTGTGGTGGTGGCAAGTAGATAACAAATATAGGGGAACTGGAGGGAAAGGAGCAATTTCACACAGAGAATTCCAGACCTTTGACTGTCCATTTTCTCATAGGCTGCCCAGCCTAACGGGGGGCGGGGGGGCTGGCTCATGATGCAGGTGCTAGGACACCATGTAGCATGTGGGACACGCCGCATAACCCTCACCCCGAGACCTGCATTTGGCTCGGACTTCTGGAGCCCGGAGAGGGGAGTCGGGGAAGGGGGCCTGGGGTCTGACAGCCGTGGAGGAGTCCCAGTTCTCCCGCTATCGACTGGGTGATGTTGGTCCATTTCCTGAGCCTCACGGGGCTTCGGCTGCCTTGTCTGTGATAAGAGGAGCCACTCTGTGGAGCTACAGTGGGAGCAAAAGGAAATGCATCACAACGCTGGGGAAGCAGCAGGCTCTGTCCCCGTGTCAGCTGTGAGGCTCAAGAGAATTCTGAGGAGGCCCGAAAGGGGTTCAGAATTCAAAGACGGGATGGGGAGGTGTCAGGGGACGTGTGATTTCGAAGGCCCAGAGGAAGTGAGGAGGATGCAGGGCCCTGGACCGCAGCCGCGCGTCTCCCGTTCTCCCATGCGTGACAATCGCCTGGGATGTCCTTCAAGTGCACAGCAGGGGCCCGAGAGCCTGTGTTTGCCACAGGCTTCCAGGTGGTGCTGGTACGGCTGTAAATGTGACCCTGATGTTGCTGTGGCCACAGGGTCCAGCGCCAGGCTGCCCAACGCAGCCGCCACCAAAACTTTGATACGCGGCTCGTCCATGGAGACGTGCGGTGAGTGCCGCCTATGCATGGATTTGGGAAGACGTGGTACGAAGCCAAGAATAAAAAAAATGACATCAAATGACATAATCTTTTAAATATTTTCTGTTCCACAAAACAGTATTAACAATAATATCCTTTTAAAAATGTGGCCACTGGGAAAGTTAGCCCGGTGTTTGGGACTCACGTTTCATTTCAATGAGCGGCTTGACTAGGGGGCCCCGGGGAAGCGCCTGATTTGGGCTGCGGCAGGAAGTGGGAAGGAATGTCTTGAAAGATATTAAATGATCATGCGCCAGGTTCTGTGCTGGATACGTTCTGGGAGTCGTTTACAGTGTTTGAAGGTATCCACAAGGCCGGCATTAAAATTCCTGTTTGACCGAGGAACTAAAACTGAGCGGCATTAGAAGCTTCCCGGAGGTCACACCGTGAGTTACGTGACTCAGGGCATGTGGGGTCGCATGGCCATCAGGAAGGTGCCCCCGAGCGACGTCGGAGAAGAAATAGGGACCAGAGTCCCTGCCAGCTCAGCTGGCAGGAAAAAAAAAGTGCAGGGCAGGCTCCTGCGGGTGCTGGGGGGCCAGTGACCCTGACACATGGCAGGGTGCCAGGTGGGACGCCACCTCTGCTTCCCTCAGCGCTGCGTTTAACCCATTCCTGCCCATAACGATTTTGCTCGAGGACAAGGCGTGTGTCAGAACCGTCATTGGGTAAAGCGTCTGCTCTCAAGTCCGAGCGCAGCGCCGGCGGAAGGCCCGGAGCATCGGAGGCCACTCTGTCGGCTCCAATTGCTGCCCTGTCCGCCTGGGTTCTAGGTCAAGGCGCAGAATCAGCCCCGCCTGACAGTCGGCTGGAAAGCCGTGTCAAACCCTGACACCGAGGCCGCGTGCCCGACTGGGCACATCAGGGCCTTGGGGGCGGGACCCAGGCTCTAGAACACTCGTTAGGTGACCCACTGCACAGCCAAGCTTGTGACTAAGAGAAGTCCAGGAAGTGGCCAGCTCCGGCCGCTCTGCCAGGACCAGAGCGGCCTCGGGGCCGCAGTGGGAGACTTCATCGTCACGGCGACGCTTCACTGAGCGCCAGGCGCTAGGCGGCGCGTTCTCATTGAACCCTCACAACAGTATCTGGACGTGTGTATAATCGCCACTCCTGGCCTTGAAGATGGGAAACTGAGGCTCAGAGATGTTCAGTAATTTGACCAAGGTCCCAGGGCTAATATGGTAGAGGTAGGATTTGGCCCAGGCTTCCCGACCCCGGTATGTTCCTGCTGTTAGGCTGTGTGGCCTCTCCTGGCCAGCGAGGCATCTTGCCCACAGATCAGACTGGTCAAGTGTCCCCTTCACGCCGCCTGCCCTCTGCACAGGCTGCGGGGGAGGGAGGCCCAGGGACATAAAATGCTGTGTTCAGAAGCAGACTGCTTGCTAGTGGCAGGGCCAGCCTCAACGTTCGGGTCTCCGGCCGCCCGTCCTGTGCTTCTCCCGCGACGCCTCCCTGCTGCCTCTGGCTTCTCCGCAGAAACAGGGCCCGGACACATCAGGGCTGGAAAGCAGGCCGTGGCCAGGAGACCCTTCCTAGGCCCGCGGCCGTCTCTACACTCTGTGCTTGTCAGGGGGCGGCCCTTCCTGGGACTGCCCCCCAGCATCCCCCCTCTTCTGTGTCTCTGCAGCCCCTACCCGTGCCTGTGGACCATCAGCAACAGCGGCGGGGGCCCTGCCGGCTCGGGCCCGGAGGTGCATGCCGGGTCCCCGGGAGCCTTTCTCCTGGGTAACCCCACTGTGACCGCGCCACTGTCCACCCAGGCGCCCGCTGCGGCGGGCATGGAGGTTCTGGGGGAGCCCTCGCTGACCAGCATCGCCGTGTCCACCTGGACGGCGGTGGCCTCGCATCCATTCTCGGGCTGGGGGAGTGCGGGTGGGGGTGGGCGCCACTCTCCCTCCTCACTGGATAGTTAGGCGGGATCTGAGGGTGGGTGTCCGCAGAGAACCTTCTAGGGCCCAGCACTTAGAAACCCCACCTACCGATGCCAGTGAGTGAGGCTGCAGGGTCTCCACTCCCCCCCACCCCTGACCCCCGAGCCAGCTGCAGGGTGGGGTGGGTTCTTCCAGAAGCCGACTGGCAGATTGCTCAGTGTGGATGACGCTAATTATGTACTCGGGTCTTTCTACCCTATTTTCTCTGCGCTCTCACTTTCTCTGCAGCGTCTCCCTGCCATGCTTAGGTGGCAACAGCTTTAGGAGCACCACCCTTGTGCCTTGCCCTTACTCCCAATGGTCCTAGAAGGCCCTGTTCCTCTTCGGTGATGGGGTGCAAAGCTGTTCTGTGAGCTCCAGGGTTGCCTCCCTGAGGCCACCACACGGTGGCTTTGTGCAGCCCTGGAAGGCGCATGTGGCCGCAAGGCTTCTACTCTGAGCCCCAGAGAGGCTGCAACTCAGAGTGAAGTTCGCAGAGACGGAGCTAAGCGTGGCGTCCAGCGGGGAGCCCGGGACTGAGGCCGTGCGACCACGGGGCTCCCTTGCTCAGAAACCTGTGACGGCTCGCCCGTGCCCGCTGAATGGAGTCACTTCTCCTCCCCCCCGGGGGTCCCCTGCCGTCCCGCCTTGCAGCTTCCCCGGCCGGGCTCCCCGGGACCCGGCGGCACGCTGCGCTTCATTCGAGGGAGGCAGTCCGCCTCGGCTGTCTGTCCGTCCAGTGGACCTTCACGCTGCCGAACCTGCTCCTGTGCCTGAGCCGTCCTCTGCCCAGCCCCACGGTGCGGATCCACCCTTCTCCCCGTCAGTGCTGGGTGGATGCCCCGCCCGGGCGCGCCCGGTCGCACCCTGCGCTCCCGCTGCCTGGCCTCTGTCGGGGAGCGCGCCCCATTCTGCCTGTGTGCCCCCGCCTGTGAGTGTGCCTCTCCCCGCAGACTGCAGGCCCCTGGGGCGAGGCCCTGCCCTGCCTTTGTACCCACAGCTCCTGGTTTGTGCCTTGCCTGTCGTAGGTAATAAACGCTGGCTGAGTTGAACTGGTGTGACGTGTGTTTGCTAAAGGACAGTGGTGGAGGCGGAGCTCAGAGACACGTGTCCGGGACGGGGTGGCTTGTCAGTGTGGGAGCCCAGGGACACGCTGGGACAGCCACCTCTCAGGGGGTGCCAACACACGGAGACGGTGTGGGCCAGAGCGGCTGCTCCCAGACAGACACTGGTCCTTGGCTCCCCTGCACCCGGAGGCCCCGGGGCACCTGCTAGAAATACAGATTCCTGGGCACACAGCGCACCTATGGGGTCCGAATCACTGGGGCTAAAACCCAGGAGTTTGCGCATCAAACAAGGGCTCCAGATAATGGCCACAGAGTCAAGTTGGGAGAACACTCGCCTAGAACAGAGAAATAGAATGATAAATACTCGAGGAACCTCATTTCAGATGGAAGTTTCCATCTCTGCCTCAGCCAAGGTCACTGCTGTAGCCGATGAGCAAAAAAAAATCACTGTTCCATGGGTTCCCCTTTAACCGCCCCCCCCGCACCCCGCCGCCACTGGATGTGCGGATAGCCCCCCGGGAGCCAGGTCTCCAGACCTGGGCGGGGAGGGTTCCCCAGCACTGACGTCCCACTGCGCTGACGGAGCCGTCCCTCGGGGCCTCGCTGAGGGGCCTACGGTCCCACTCGGGCCGGCAGCAGCCAGCTGCGCCCACCGCTATTCAGCGCGCCGAGCCCATTCCAACCCGCCCCGCACCGAGCTTCCGTCTGGGTGCACACGTGGCCCTAAGGAGTCCCCATTCTTTCTGCAGAAAATGGTTCTTGAACACGCTGTTCCCATTTTTGGACTCAGGTCTCTGGAAACAATACCCTCACCACAGGGTGGGTGAGCCGGGAGGCCGCCTGGCTGGCTCAGGGTTGCCTGGCCCAGCGCCGGGTCCCCGGGGGTGAGTGATGGAGGCACGATGTGCCCGCGCCGCTGCTCTTTGCAAAGCTGCCTGGTCAGCGTGCCCCCAGATAGGACTCTTCGGTTCCCTGGTCCCTCTGCGATGCCATTAGAGGCCATTAAGGTAGTCCCATATTAGCGTCTCTGCAAGCGGGTATTTTGGTAAGTTGTCCGAAGCGGCCATTTCCTGCTCAGTTAGAAGTGGCGACTGCCGCGGTCTCCGTTGCCCGTGCAGGGCAGGCACGTCCCCACGCAGGGGTCAGGCACGACGGGCTCGTAAGCCCGGCCTGTGCGCCCCTCCCTGCGGCCTCGCCCTTCCTGCGCTCCCGGGCCTGGAGCGGGCGGCAGAGGCCGCGAGGCGCCGAGCGGGAAAGCCGGTAACCCGCACGCCTTTCTCACCTCTCCCGCTCAGGTGGAGGGAGGAGTCCTCCGCAGAGGCTGCTGCAGCGTGAGTGGGGTGCGGGGCGGGGGTGCGCAGGTCTCATCGGTCTTACAGGAGGCTCGGCTGGGAACCTCCGATGACGCTGAGCCCACAGAGTGACCGCCGCTCCGCGGGGAGGGTCCCCGGTGCGAGCCTCGCAGCCAGAGCCCTGTGCTTTCTGGGGTTTTCTCCCGAGTGTCCGGGGCTTGTCTGGGAGGGACGCACTTGATGGCTTAAGTTGGTTTAAAAAAAGGACAGAGTCTCTGAGGTTTTAGAGAAACTTTGCAGCACCTTGGTTACCCAGCTCATTATAACAAAACGGGAGCGGCGCCATGTTGGGGCTCAGGCCTGTCGTGGGAAATTTGAGAGCAGCTTACATCCCACCTGCATGGAGGGGTTAACGCGGTTCCTGTGGGCAGGTGGTGGAGGTTTGTCTCCCTTGGAGGGGCCCCGATTTGGGTTTGCTGGCCGCTCAGCCCTCCCCTGTGGGGGGCTCGGATCGCCTTTGCCCCCAGGCAGAAGCCAGGCGCTCACAGGCCTGGCTGCTGATGGCACCTCTGGAGCTGGGGGGGGGGGGGGGGGGAGGCGGGGGCGGGGCAAGTGTGGGAGAGGGTAATCGGAGGACAGTGGAAAGGCTTCAGTCATTAAGACAAAAATCTCAATAACAGATATTCGGAGACTGGCGGATGTTTGCCCCTGTCCCCCCACCTTCTTGTCCCAGAGGGTTCAGTGGTTCCTTGGGGACCAGGAGTGGCAAGCACCCACGGTGTCCATGGTGGGTAGCCCGGGATGAGGGGCTTCCTGGAAGGTGGGGTTTCCAGTTTGAAACCGGCCAGCCTGGGTTTTGCCCAGGGTGAGTTGGTCGGCTGCACCAAGGCACACCTGCTGTGGGCTGAGCGGCAGGAGCGCAGGGTCCTGCTCTTTTGCCCACAGTGGGTTGTGAGTGACGATATTCCTGACAAGGGACAGAGCAAGAATGAGCAGAGGCGTGGAAGCTGAGCCCCACCCACGCTCCTCAGTGGCTTGACTTCCGACAGCTGCACTCTTCCCAGCATCCAGCAGGTGGCTCTGTTGCTTAGCACAACGACCGGCAGAAGGAAACCGGCTGGGAGCCGCCCCAAGCCCTGGGTGCAGTAAAAGCAGCTGCTGTGTCACGACAGACAACCTTGTCCATCTGCCCAGCTCTGTCGAGCGTCTCCCTGCCGAGGGCTTGAAACGGTCTGAGACCTAGAGACACTGCCGGCGAGCTTCAGGTTTTCTTGTCTCAAAGTTGCTGCAAAACTGCAGGCTTGGAGCATGGCCCTGAGCGCAGCCTGGAGCCGGAGAGGTTTCCCAAAGGGAGTGAGAGCCAGAGCTGGAAGTCCCGCAGGCTCAGGGCACTCCTGCGGGCAGGCCGGGCTTTACCCCCAGCCCCCACCCCAGGCTCGGCCCCGGGTAATGAAATCGCCTAGGACCCGTTGTTGACCAGGTGGAGCCCCCTTCCGAAGCTCTGCCAGTGGGGAAGACTAGCGCTGCAACAGAACCTTCCTCCGACGCCCTGCCCTCCGGCTTCGCAGCTGCTGGTGCCCATGAGTAGAGGCCGGGGCTGGGAGAAGCGCATGCGAGGCCTTTCCCCGGAAGGTCCCCATGGATGTACGGAATGCGCCTGGGGGAAAAAATAAACAAGCCCACCTGCCATGTCAGTTCAGGTCTGATTTTAATGCTAATTCCTCAGCTTGGGGGCCTCTTGTCCCCAAAATTTCAAACAATCCTAAATCATGCGACCCAGTTGGAAGTTTTAAACTAGAAGGGAGACGTTTTCTCCCCCCAGGCAACAAGGGAGAGGTATCTCTTCCTGTGCCAGGGGTGGGTTTTCCCAAGTTCCTTTTTTGTTGGCAATACAGCCTTTTGGTGGTCTCTGTAACTGCCTCTGTTTTTATTGCTTTAGGCCCCTTTCTCCCTCCCTGGGTGGAGCTCCCCAGGAACATGGCTGGGTTGCTTCCATTTTTGTCCTTCTAGCAACTGTCACAAATACCTGTGACGTAGGAGAGCCTTTGTGACTGCTTCTGAACTCTTTTCCCTCTATTTTGACCTCATGCTTTATTGTGTCCATTCATTCCTGCTGACTTATTTTATCTTGACATATTTTTTCAAAAGTTATTTGTTGTTTAAAGACTCCCTAGGATTCCTGGGGGGGGGGGGTGGATAGAGGGGCATCCATCTAGATAAATTAATAATGCGAGAGGTTAGCATTTATCTGATTCTGGGTATTTGCAAGGCAGCAGACATAAATATTTCAGGGCAATGCACTTAGGAAGGCGCAGGATGGGAAAGCACTCCTTGGTTCTGAGCCTGCTTTGGGGGATGCTTCTGCTCCTCTTTCTACCCAAACACGAAAGCCAATAAAACTTTCTCTCCCCTCCTCCAGCTGGTCCCGTGCAAACCCTGAAAGTCCTTTAGAAAAGGGTGGCCTCCATAATGTGCCCAGCTTAGGGGTTCAGCGCTGTTTCCCTCAATTCTGGCCGAGCGCTGTCTCTTACTATGTCAGCCTCGCTGCCGGTCACAGCGGGATGCAGCCTGTGGCTCTCAAAAGTCAAGAGTGGGGGGGTAAGTGAAGTTATGAGGAATGGGCCACACACAAAGTGCATCTAAT